AATCGAAGGCTTTCGGCACAATGAGACACGTTGGTTAAATCCTTCTAAAAACTTAATCAAAATAGGCATTATAGGACATCAAAACATAAAAACATTGCATGCGTAAAATGTTTTTAGACCAGGTCCTATTACCTCTTTCAAAAAATAACAAAAAAGCAACAAAAAAATATATAGGACGTCTGGGCCCATCTAGATAGCATCGGGTGGGGCTTCCTGCTGCAGCCACCACCTACACATGTGTACCCGCAAGCGGTACTGGAGTTCCTAGCCTCCGTCTCTTACTCTGAGGTCCCCTCCACGGTCCCGGGCCTACCACCCACCAGGATGGTGACCTATTTTATGGGTGGGCAATACCAGACCTCCACCCTCAAAGAATTCAACGTAGCCATCGGGTTCGTCCGGCCCGAGGACGCCACAACCCAAGAGTATCGTGACGCCATCTGCTCACGGCCCACCAACCTTACCGCCGCCAAGATGTGGCATGAGCTCACGGGAGCCACCACGCTGCCCACGCTGATGAGGGGATCCGCGCTTCCCCCAGCACTCCGTATCTGCCACAAGCTGCTGGCAGGAACCATACATGGGAGGAAAGAGAGTCAGGGCAAAATATCCCTCCCTGACCTCTTCGTACTCTATTGCATGAGCCAGAAGCGGCACTGTAACCCCGGGTATTTCTTCCTGAAGGCCCTCAAGGACTTCGGGCACAGATCCACGGGGGCCGTCCTCATGGCTCCACTCATCACTCCCCTGGCAGAAAGTTTGGGGTGCCCTGGCTGGGAAGAGTTGGCCCACAACCTGCGACCCGAATCCATCGGTGGGTCAATCTTGGTCAGCATGGGAATGCTGATTTGCAGAGAGACCCAGCTGGCCCTCCACCCCACACTAGATTTTGCATTGGAACTCCAGGATGCAATGCATGATCTGCCTACACCTCCCGACTTCCACCACCAGCAGCAGCAGCAGCAACCGCCCCGGTATGCGGACAACTTCGCTGGCATGCACCGCCACATGAGCGATCTATGCCAGCAGTTCGACCATATGACTGTGAGGCAAGAGCAGATATCCCAGAGGCAGGAGCAATTATCCCAAAGGCAAGATGCCTTTGACACCCGGCTGGGAGAAATGTACCAGCACCAACAGGACATGCGCCACGATTGGACGACATTCCAGCAAAGATACCAGGATGAAGTCCAAGAGCAGGAGGACTTCCGGTATCATATGTACCAGCATTTCCCTCCACAGGGATCGGGTCCAGAGGATAGCCCCTAGGGATAGTGACTCAAAAATAGGGTTGTAATAAAATTTCCCCCATAATAAAAATTCTATTTCATGCATCTTTTTGCCATCTCTTGCAAAAGCCAACGTAAAAAAAAAAAAAAAAAAAAAAAAGAAGAAGAAGAAGAAAAGGCATACGCTCAAGAAAAAGCCAAAATCCTGAATCGCGAGAAAAAAGAGAAAACCGCGAGAAAAAGGCAGGATTAAGCCATCACCTCAACCAACAAAATCTCGACTACCAAGCAAGAGTCGAACGAAACCAATACCCATCCGACCAACCAGTAAGGATCGGCTGATCACCACCAAAAGAACAAAAACAAAGAAATCCCCAGCAACCAACAAAGCTGAATGAAACACAAAATCCCCGACACAGTCCGAACGACCATTCAAGAGGTCCAAGCACATCTACCAAAACAGAAATCACTCCCCAGAGAGCCGGCGCATGAGCTAGAGCAGTAAGTCGCCACCATCGTCGAAGGGTCAGCCACCGCAAGAAGGGGCATCCAGAGGCACATAACCAGACGAGGGTTCATACTCGTTAGCCAAGGGGTCAGCTACTGCGTCAAAGGAGCATCCCAAGGTTTCACATCGGCGCATGATCAGAATCAGTAAGCCGCCACCACAGCCAAAGGATCAGCTACCGCAAGATGGAGCATCCGGAGGCTAAACACCAGATGGGGGTGTGTACTCATCAGGGCCTTACAGAATGGGGCTTACCAGACGGGGGTTCATACTCGTCAAACACCAGATGGGGGTGTGTACTCATCAGGCCTTACAGAAGGGGGCTTACCGGGCAAGGGTTCATACTCGTCAAACCAGATGGGGGTTCGTACTCATCAGCCGAAGGGATCAGCTACCGCGTCAAAGGAGCATCCCAGAAGCGCACAACACAACACTTCCCCAGAAGATCATCCGCCGCATAAACGGAGCATCTGAAGGGCAACCGGGCAAGAGGGTCAACTCCTTTACCCTCCAGTCGATCACCTTGGCACAAAAGGCCAGCAATCGACTGGTCGGGTAAAGGGGGGGCAGCTGTAGACCCCAAATCTTGCCCGGCCTCCAAATAAAGACTAGAAGACCTCCTATTTGAAGATGGATGAAGCCTAACAAGCCATTAGGAGAGACTATTAGGCCCCATACTAAGATAGGAGGGAGTTTCTGTATGAAAAATAAGTATTCTCGCCTTGTTGGGACGAGACCGCCCTCTGGATTTCCCAGACCGCTGTCTCGCCTCACGCAAGTGGCGAGACCGCCGTCTTGCTTGACGAGACGGCGGTCTCGCCACCTGCGAAGGGCGAGACGGCGGTCTCATTTCCCTAGACGGCGGTCTCGCCGCGTTTGGCAGGTCGAGACGGCGGTCTCGTTAGACGAGACGGCGGTCTCAACCCTGTCAGACGAGACCGGCGGTCTCGCCACCTAACAGCGCAAAAACCTATAAATAGGGGTCCTCCCCCCCTCATTTCCACACACCACAAGCTTCTAGCTCTGCCTTCTCTCTAAAAACTTCTCTCTAGAATCCCTCCGATGCATTTCCGGAGTTTCTGAGTGTCTTTGAGAGCATTTTTCGGCGTTTAGAAGAGTTTCAGACGTCTTGTAGAGTGAAGGGCTGCCAAAAAGCACCCTCTTTTCAAAGAAATATAAAAACAAAGCTTGCTTCAGAGGTTTAATTTCTCCCTCTCTACTTTTATTGCTTTAATTTAAATTATGCAATAGATTAGGGCCATGTAGTCGTAACTTTAAATTCCGCACAATAAAAAAGGGCAAAAGAGTATTTTCCGGTTTATTTATTAACATAAAAAGTTGGCCTATCATAGGGAACCCGAAAGGGGCGTAGTAAAGGAACTAATACTTCCTTTACCACGTAACTAACTCCCTTACCCAACTCTGGTTCTAATGACCAAAGTTGGTTTTCGAAAACCAACGCCTTTTAAAAACCTTTTTCGATGTTTCCGGTAAAAACATCGGTGGCGACTCCATAGAACCCAAAATAAACAAGTCCTTGGGTTAGCCCGGTTATCGAACAACCCAGGGACGCCTTTCGAAAACCTTGCCCCTAGGCTAGCCTGGTTATCGGACAGCCTAAAGGCGTTGTAACCACCCATAAAAACGCGAAAACAAAAGGGTCGAAAAAACCATCGCGTCGCTCCGACCGCCTCTTTTCAGACGGCGGCGACATACAAGGCACACAGAAAGTACCTAGGTCTTTACACTTCTCAGGAATTTGAGGAACAAATTTACCTATTAGTGCTGACACATTTCTGCTCATGCTAATCTGCTCATTTCCCTTTAGTTTTCTCTTGTGTGTACACAACTCCTTTAGAAATTTGGCATATCTAGGAATTTTCTTGATGGCATCCAAAAGAGGAATGTTCACCTCCACCTTCCTGAATGTTTCTAGAATCTCTTTGTCAACTTCTTTCATCCTTTTACTTAGAGGAATTTTTTGTGGGAATGCAAGAGGGATAGGAGGCTGTTGCAGCTGCCGACTACTGTAGAAAAAATGATAAATAAAACAGTGAACCAATGTTAGTACCCGTATAAAATAAAATATAACATTTGACCCAATTTTCCAAGCCCAAAATTTCTTTAAACTGCCCTAAAATTAATAATGAGAAAAAATTAGATTAAATAGATTCAAATTAATTAAAATCTAAATTATTGGCCCAATGAAACCCAATTAATAAAAATTCACTAATAATAGAAAGTTAAGCCTAAAACACTAATTAAAATAAGTTCGGAAAGGGAAGAAAATACGGAAATATAATGACTCTGTTGAAACATACAAGAATATGAATGTTGAACATATATGGA